AAAAAAAAAAAAGATGTTTTATATATTAATTTGAATAAATTGCAATTTTTTAAATCCTATATGTAGACGAGGCCACGGGCCACCAGGCCCTGACCCGGCACGGGCCCAGCCCGGTCAAACTCGTTGACCACGGGTCCGAGCCCGGACCAAATTTTCGACGGACCATTTCAGGGTCATTATTTCATGACCCTGGCCCGGCGGGCCGGATCCGAGTTGATGACCCATTTTTTTTTTTAATTTTTTAATTTTTTTTATATTATTCTATATTTTTTTAGATGACGACCCGACACTGACCCGACACGTCATGGACCTGACACAAGCATAGGTCCGTGCCGGTTCAGGGTCGATGAAGACCAACCCGAAGGCTCGGCGGGCCGGGCCGGACCGGGTCGTGACACCCCCCCCCGGTTTTGGTCATGTCTACCAATATGTTTCACTATCCTAACTTTTTTCGTTGTCCTCTTCGAAATGTTTTTTTTCATTTTCGTCCCTTTGCAAAAAAATTGTAAGTTTTTTCCGCAACAAAATAGGCTCTTATGTTCTGTAAAAAAATATTTTAATTTCGTCCCTTATGTATGCTCGAGGACCTTTTTGTAACCGTTTTTCAAATATCAGAGACGAAACTGAAAAACGCAATTTGAAGAGGACGAATAGGGCAGTGAAACATACAGGACGACTAAAATTTCATTCTACTCAATTAATTTGAATTCATTCAATCAAAACCTCGAAATTTTAAATACTAACTCAATGCTTGGGTTTTTCGTCTCTTGTCGGGAGTTAAGAACACGGTAGACGGCACAATGTTAGCTGGGCCGCAAGTGTAGCCGGGACCAGGCGCAAGGAGGGTGAAATTAGTGGGCAGCTTGACGGTCTTGTTGGAAGTCCCGGCAAGGCCAACGCTGACCTGGAAAGACGATACGGCAGAGGACGGGTCCTGACCCCAAGAGGAGACGACCCCGCCTTTGCAGCAATTGGCAATTTGCTGATTGTATGGGACGCCAGGGAGCAAATCAACCACATTGGGATTCCTCTTGCAGCAATGTGGGACATTGCCTTTGAATTTGGAGCAGTCTCCTTGTTCAGTAGTTTGAGCCCCAACCATTGACCAAATCACCTCTTTTTTAGCCCAGCCCCAGCTTAAGCTCCACCCAGGGCTCATTATGTGCCGATACATTTGAAAGTTGTTCATCGTCACGACCGCCTGATCATCATTTTTTTTAATTAAAAATACACCTGCTCGACTTAATTTACCTGACCTACATTTGAAAGTGGCTATACAAATTGTTAAAATCGCTCACCACATAACCGTCAGGGGTCCAAGATACTACGTCCCATTTGATTGTTATGTTCCCGAAAGGATCCAACGGGTCATACGAATCTACTACAACAAATAATACTCATAAGAAGCTAATATAGATATTGTAATTACCACAAATTAAAGAAAAAATATATTGTATATAAATAAGGAAGATGCTACAGTCCCGTTATGAAACCATTCCGTCGGAGTTTGCAACAGTTACATGATAATCTAACAGTTACAAATTCCGACGGAATTGTTCAGACCTTAGCATTTCTCCATTATTACCTGCTTGAGGAAAGAAGAGAGCCCATAAAGTGAAGCTCGTTATGGATAGTGATAAAAACCGCTTCGCTCTCTCATGCATTTTGATTTTTTTTTTTTTTTTTTCAGGTGGCTGAATACTTTGTAAGAATATATGACGAACGAGTGTAAGAACAATCGACTGCACCTTATTATATTATATGTAAATCTGGAAAATGATGAGTCTAATGATTTCACACCTAATGGTTGTTGGGACGTTATTAGCTAGCTTTTTTCATTCCATTGTCTAATCTATAGAGGTTTGATATTCATTATTAGGGAAACTTAAGTAGTAAATAAAGGTGGCAGCAGACGTGAGATGTTTGAACTGATCGCCACATATATATAAGGTAGTCGGTATCGCGCTGGTGCTAAATCACTTCGTCGTGATACAATCTGCAGTTACACTATTAAATCATCAATGCATGAATTTTCAAATGCTTTGGGTTAGATACTATGGCACTATATGTGAATTAGGTGACCACACACCTTCTAATAGTATAAATTAAAAAAAAAAAAAAGTATATATTCTTGTGAATAAGTGAACATTAGATAGGTTAACACTGTGGGGCGCTACAAATTGCCTTGAATTGTTTTTAGTTCTCTTTCATGGGAGGAGCTTCCATTCTCTTCGTTGAGAGCTTTAATTCTCACTAGTTCGAGTGTTCTTGCACTCCGTAGAGTGAGGGTGTGATCGTGTTTTTATAAGTGGTTCCTTTGTCCTACTATTGTCTCTTCTCTTCGGGTAGGGAGTGGTTTCTGGGGTATATTTAGGTTTTCTAGAGCGGTTGTTGGAAATATTAGGGTTGTTGGTCCATTTTTATGTTTTTCCCAACGTTCTGAAAATTGGATCGGACTAGCCAGTTCGATCGAAAACCGGCCTATACACCGAGCCGGTTTGAGATATGAAACCGATGGGGTCCAAAACCAGCTACAAATCTTTAGATCCGAAGTTTAGCGCACCCAGCGGTTCAATTGTTGACTCTGTGTAGAAGTGGTTGTGAAAGCACTAAAATGACCGAATGTTTTTCTTAGTGTTTTTTATATGGGACAAGTTCTTAAAAAAAAAAAAAAAAAAAAATTGGTTAAATTTGGACCGTTATTGGGCCTGGGATGCACGAATAAATAGAAGAAAGGGAAATTTTCAGGTGTGCTATGTGATTTAAACTTATTTACAACTCTACCATATCTATATTAATAATTATATCTTTACCTAAAATACTATATTTATTTATATTAATGCCTAAATCATTTACTATATCATTTCAACCTCTATCCCCTTTTTTATGGGATTGATTAGGAGAGAGAAATGAAAATATACTTATAATAACTCCTTTAATTCCTTAATTCGCGCACTTGTAAGTTTTTAATAGAGAAAGAGATAGAAACATATATTGTAAGTCACGCAGCTGTCCAGTGGGTATATGTTGGGTTTATGTTGGTATATACTCAGTATATGTTGCAATGAAAAACATGTCTTCCATAAAAAAAATTTGTTTTTTTTT